TGTATGTGCTGTATGTGGTGTATGAGGTGTGCTATTAAAGGTTGCCTGTGTCAGAGATCACAAATTACCCTGCTGCTCTGCCTGAACACTGCCCTGCGGAGAGATGCTGTTATTGTGAGTGTAGTGCATGTGTGCGCTTCATATTTTGAAAACTAACTCATATTGTACAATTATGCTTGTATTAAACATATATATTTACACACACACACACACACACACACGTGTATATATATATATATATATATATATATATATAAAAAAAAACCTCGTATCTCCGTTTTGACATTTTTCAGTTTTTGACATAATTTGAGTACCTGTTACCCTTTACATTGTATGTACATTTTATAGCAAATTTCCATTTCAAGTAATTTTGGACCATTTCAGTTGGTCCATTGTTTATGAATATGTTTATGAATATGTATACAGTTCAAAGTCTGGGAGTGATTTTAATAGATTTACAAGATTCATGATGCATGGACAAGAAGGCCCAAAATGACTTGGAAAAAAGTCTGGGTCCATTGACTTACATTAAAAGTAAGGTATGTATTTTTCCTTCTCCAACAACGATAAATATATATATATATATATATACACACACACACACACTGTAAGACTCAGGACACAGTGTTTAAAAACATCAGCACTGCCATGTCTGATCCACTTGTACCAGTGCAGCACACACTAACACACATGTTAGGCTTGCAGACTTCAGCACACTGCTTCATTAAACACATCTGATTCAGCTCATTCATGAACTGAATTCAGAGTGTTAGACGAGGGTAAACACTAATATCCGCAGCACTTTGGACCGGAAGGTCCCTAGTTTGACATGCCTGCACATGTCACATTCATGTCAGCGTCACTGCAGCGCTGAGAATGATCCACCACCCAAATAATACCTGTTCATTAAAGAACAGGGTAAAAGGGGGCTAACAAAGTTCGCACAGAAAAAGATGGATTAGTCTGTAGTTGTAGAACCACAAAGTGCATCTATATGGTAAGTGGATCTGATAGAGTATAATAAATATATCGTTGTTGTCGGAAGAAAACCTCATATCTCCAAAATGATAACTTCACAGGAGAAGGAAAAAATGTACTTTACTTTTAATGTAAGTCAATGGAACCAGACTTTTTTCTAAGTCATTTTGGGCCATTTCCTTTGGTCCATTCATCATGAAATTAACACGCAATGTAAAGGACAACGGGCATTTTTAAATGATGCCAAAAACTGAAAAACGACAAAAATGCAGATACGAGGTTTTCTTCTCACAGCAGCGTTATGTGCAACTTGTTATAACAAAAAAAATGTATTAAAATGACTTCCAGACTTTATACTGTATAAACGTTCATAAAGGATGGACCAATAGAAATGGTCCAAAATGACTTAGAATGGAATTTTGTTCCAATAATATTTATTGAACATTATATACAGTACTGTGCAGAAGTCAGAGACCACCCTTCATTTAATTTCCAGTCCAAAGTGAATAAACAGGAGTTCCCAAAATTTGAGTTCAAATTATTATTAACAGACACGGAGGAAATGAGACTCCTAACAACATCCTCATCCTTCCACTATGAGAATACAGCTCAGTGCTATGGCTCTGAAAGGATGTGGTGTAAAAAAAATGGACTGGCATCTTCAGTTTTCTTTGAAAAACTCAAAGCAAGCTGTAATAAAGGCAAAAGGTGGACACACTAAGTACTGAAACATTGATATTATACACACACACATCACATTATCATCGTGGTATGCATCTCTTTTCCTGCCCCTTTGTGAACGTGAGTGACAGTCAGTCACCCCATTTCACAGGGAACTGTCGGGGAGGGGAGGAGTAGCAGCGTAATGCCCTTTCATTGTGATATTGAGTTTTATTAATTGTGTATTACACATGCTTAAGGGAGATACAAGGGAGGGGGCGAGCGCATGCGTTAAATTATGCCTCTGTATCGCGCCTTTCTGGATTGTTGGTTTCCATAATTGTCATATGCCCACCCTCTCCCCCAAAAAGCGACGCAATTTAATTAGGATGGGAACATTGCAGCTGACCCCAGAGGGCCCGGCACCTTTGAAGGGTGGGCCCAATCTAAGACTGGATGCTCCAATGATCTCAAACCTTGAGAAACGCTCAGAACAGAATTTCTTCCTACATTTACACCCATTATAACTAGTGTTGAAGTTGAGGTTGGAGGTGCATTAAAGGGATAGTCAAATGTGATTAAAAGCTAATGTTTTCAGATAGAATGGCGTTATTACCTTACATTGGTAACTTTAAGCTGCCACCAAAGGTAGTTTGGATAAATTAGGTGCAGGTTAGCAGGTGGCTAATTGTCCCTTTGATCGAGAGCAGGATACAGATCAAAGGCCCTCAGAACTCTCTATTTACTTTGGGCATAGAAGCAAAGCACCAGAGTTGGTTTCACAATGAGGAGGAATTGTGAAGTCGGTGAAGTTAGTCATTTACGTTGAATGTAAAAGTGTATATGGTTAAATACAGCTGTGTTCGACGTATAGCACAGGAAAAAATAGGTTCATGTGGGTCTTATGATGGCGCTAATGGTCTTGCAGACAGTCCGAGTTTCTGTCTCAGTCCTTTCGGTAACAATTGGTATTTGAGTGGTTCGCAGTGTGGCTGATTTCTTTGCCGTCATTGAGGATTCTGAGTTTGAGCGCAAGCCTCTTTTCTGGTGGGCAGGGAAGCCTCAGCGGGACCTTCTGCTGGACTTGTGTGATCAGATCCCAATTAGGCCGATGATTGACTGAGGGAGGGGAAGTGGCTCAGCCAGTGAGTTTTCCTGCCGATTGAACTTGAGAAATTGCCTCTTAGGGAGAAGATTCTCACAGTTCTTTCAGAACAGAGCATGGATAGAACAGAAAACTCAGTGTTTGAAGCCTTACCTGTAGGCGAGATGATGGTGGCAGACATAACACATATTTTGGATGTGTATTTTATACATATATATATATATATATATATATCTCGCTGTTGTTGGAAGAAAACCTCAAAAATGGTAACTTTACAGGAGAAGGAAAAAACACACTTTACTTTTAATGTAAGTCAATGGAACCAGACTTTTTTCCAAGTAGTTTTGGGTCATTTCTTTTAATCCATTCATCATGAATTTTACATACAATGTAAAGGGTAACAGGTATTTTCAAATTGTGTCAAAAACTGAAAAATGTTATAAATGGAGATGCGAGGTTTTCTTCTGACAACAGCGATATATATATATATTAGTAGTTATATAATTGTTAGTTGTTTTCTCCTATAGTGGTCCCATTTTAATTATTAAATATTTACCTAGAGGCATACAAATAACTAAGGCACTGTTTTTTAAGGCAATTTTTTAATAATGTATTATATTGAAGTCATATAATATATCTTTGTAAATGCATAGTAAAATCGCATCTTTATAAAAGGGGTCCAGTTACTGATTGTTTGAAAAATACATTTTAATCTCTAAATAATAATTAACTAATCATTAACTAAAGGTTTATGTATCACAGTAGCTAAATAATAAATAGCTGCGTCGTCATTTAAAAATGGATGTAGACAATTACCAAGTAGTTATTTATAATTGTTTTTTTTATGCAGCAAGTGAATACTTAAGATTTCAAATTATAGAATTTATGAAAAACGAGTGTCAGATAACTAAATCATCCATAAGCTTTATTTATTAGCTTCTTATTATTGAATATAATTTTCATAAATGGTTCATAATTCAAATGGTACCAATTATTAATGCATATGTGACTATTATATAATTAATAACAGTAATTTACAAAATACTAGGTAATCATTAAGTTGCTTATTAGTTGTTTATTAGGATCTGTTATTATAAGCATTGTGCACAGACATTTTGTGCTTTCCAGATGTCAGAAAAAATAAATAGTGATATATGTGGTTAAATGTATGAATATGCTGTATTTTTGCCGTATCACACAGCCTTGATTCCCATGTTCTGATCGTTCTTGTGTGAAGATGTGCTCAAATATCCGGTGAAAGACACGTCTGTTGTCTTGTTGCTGTTCTCCAGATGCTCTGACTGGCTTTGGCTCTTCCACAGGGAAAGTGCTTGTGTGCGTGCGTGTTTGGGTGCGGGGTATATTGCCGCTCTGATTGCCTCTTCATTATGTAATTGCCCCTTCCAGAGTAAATTATAAACAGAGTGTGTAAAGTGTGCGATCTCCTGTGCCCTGGAGATCGTGTTTCTGGGGGGTTCCCTTTGAACGTGACAGACTGCAAAGTCTCATCAGTGCGAATTCCTTCTTTCGGCCATCTGCGTGCCTCTGCCAGCCATGTCCCCCGTGCTCACCCAGTCAATGCCCTTTTGTTCCTAACGCTTTCCAAATGTGACCCTCCACACGGCTAAATAAGCTCCCTATGTCCCTCTCAGCTCAGAGACCTGACTGACTTTTTAAAGTCTACTAACCACCACCACACACACACACACACACATTTTCCTGTCTCATTGACTTGTGATTGGCCCATTAACCCAAACGCGGCCCTGGTTAGTAGATCCATATGTCACCCTGCTGAGGGAGTTGTTTGGTGAGGGCTAGTGGCTGATTTGGGAGGCTTGAGGCTGGTCTGTAATTAGCTGAATATTCTGATCAGAGGCTCCAGGGCAGACCTGAAGGTCAGGAAGTCTTGGAATATTTGTCCCAGCTACAGCTAACAGGTGCTCTGTATCGCTGGAGATACTGCTGTGGGCTGGAGGAGTTAGTTCCTAGGAAAATAATAGTATTATAGGCAAAGAAACCATGTATTATCAGTGAATTTTCTTTTTTTTTTTGCTTCTGTTCACTGTGATGTGATGATCTGTGATGCACCTCATAGTTTAGTCTTGGAAATTCCACCTAGAATCATTTTCTCTTCAGCCAGGAAGCCCTTCGATTGGAGATACAAAAAGTTTTGATATTTTAATGCACATGCACAGAGAAGTATTAGTGTATTTCTTTGTGTATGCGCATTAACCCCCTGTTTGTATTTGTGTTCCAGAGCAAGAGGAGAACTTTGAGTTCATCATTGTGTCTCTGACGGGCCAGACCTGGCATTTTGAAGCAACGTCGTATGAGGAGCGCGATGCCTGGGTGCAGGCTATCGAGAGCCAGATCCTGGCCAGCCTGCAGTCCTGCGAGAGCAGCAAGCAGAAGGTAAACCTGCCATACAGAATCATATCATGCCGTAAAATTCCATTTATTGCAGCAGGAACAAGGAACACACTGTAAAACATCACTTATTTTCTTGTACTTTAAGTTGTAGTAGATAATTCACATACCAGCATAACAAAGTGTCCTTCCCCACATTTTGTGCAATTACACGTTTCCACCAGAGAGGTCTCCAAATCCCGAAAAGAATTATTATCATTTAAGTGCTCAAACATCGTGGCATACCCGCTAGTCCTTTGTTGCCAAACCAAATGTGCATCCTTTTTTTATGTGACCAAAAATATTACTGCTTTGCATCTCGGCAGAAATTAAAGTGACTGACCATTAATTAGGTTAATTAGAGTAACTGTTGCAGTAAAACTGACAGTTGGACCAGTTAAAAATGTAATTTATTGAAATATTGAGTACGGAAATAATCATTTGCTGCAGCTCTGAAGTGCTGTAGTGGTTAGAGAGAAATCAGTGTACTCGCATCCAAGTTAGATCACACATATTCTAGTGGTTGCCTTGCTTGTAGTTTATGCTATAATACAGGGGCCACAGTTATAACCAGTTGATATGTGGACATACAAACAGTCTTTTCGATATTTAATCATTTCTGAATTTATTTTACATTGACATTGTAAGTTAGATTGTGCTGAAATACCAAATCTCGGGTATCTGTCCATCGATGTTATCCCCCTGTACGTAATGTAGCAAAAATGTCACCACTAAATGCACACCCCACGCCATCACCCCACACACACACACACACACACACAATTACAAATAGCAATTACTTTAGAGCTAATGTGGCCCCACTCTGCTCGCCTGTTCCCCAGCTCCAGCCTTGGCTCTCCACCCGCTCGCTGTGTTTATGCCTCAGGCCACAGGCAATTGCTCTTCAGAATACCTTTTACTGAGTGCCTCCGTTCTATTTATTCTCCTTCTTTTGTTTTTCCCGTGCTTTTGAATCATACTTTATCATAATACAGCAAAGTGCAGGGTACTGCAGGCCAGTTATGATGCTTGATCATAAATATCAGAAATGGCTTTTCATTAGATAATGACTGTGTTTTTGACTATAGGAAAAGAGTGTATTTTTAGTGTATTATTAGAAGGATTGAGATCATTCTGAGATCATTGAGAACTCCTGAAGTATGGTAGAGCTTTAGTCAGGCCTGAAGTTTTGTTCTGAACCTGAATACAGTCCAAGAACCTTCTGTCCGGGCCTGACCAACCCAACACACCTCTCTTTTTTGAGTCTGAACACAATCTGAGCCTGACAGAATCCTAATTGAACTCGACCTCTCCCAGCCTCAATCACATCATCATGTTTTGAGTGCAAAACTGACCTGAACTGGCCCATCATCAGCCAAAGTGCAGAATTAGATCTCAGGCCAGTGAGACAGCCAATGTTAGCGCAAGAATGAATATAAAATATTAGGTAACACCTTACTGTAGGGGACAGTTCATAAGGCTACATGACACCTACATAAGCTTGTCATGACAACTGAAATAGACATACATAAGAGTTTATAAATGCTTATTCCAGTGGGCATTGTCTGTCATAAAGGCTACTTTAGCTAACATTGATCAAAATTGGCAAATGTAGCCTTTATAACAAATGACGTCTATTGGAATTAGCATTTATAAACATTTATGTAGGGTTATGTCAGTTGTCATGACAAGCTTATGTGGGTGTCATGTAGCCTTATGAAGTGTACCTTACAGTAAAGTGATACCAAATATTATTCTATAACCAAATAATTAACTCCGAGTTCTAAATTTTGGTTTAATAAAGTAATGGTTTTGAACATCTCGCATTGTTTGAGTCTACTTTCCATACTGTGCTGTTCTGGCTGTTCCATTCTGTGGACCTGAGTGGGTGACTCAAAAATGTTTTAAGATAGTGAAAGAAGTACTGAAGAATAAACTAAAGCAGGGGGAAATCTCTTAAAAGTGGGTTGTGGGCTTTAAAACCCCAGATGTGAAACTAAAACCCAACCTGAGCCCAACACAAATTAGAGAAATGACGTCCAAATCTGACAAATATTTCAAGTTCTAATGTGTTTGTGTGTCAATCTACAGTCACGTCTGACCAGCCAGTCTGAAGCTATTGCACTGCAGTCAGTCAGGAACATGAGAGGAAACTCTCGCTGTGTGGACTGTGAGGCCCAGAGTGAGTAATTGCTTTCTATTGTTAAGTGTGCTGTCTTGTAAGAAACAACCTCTGCAATATCTGAACATATGCAGAAACAGTACTCTCTCTTACTCTGTCTTTACCTTGCTCTCTCCCTCCAGACCCTGACTGGGCCAGTCTCAACCTGGGTGCTCTGATCTGTATCGAGTGTTCAGGTATCCACCGTAACCTCGGCACACACCTGTCCCGTGTGCGCTCTCTGGACCTGGACGAGTGGCCTCTTGAGCTCATCAAGGTCATGTCTGCCATCGGCAATGAGCTGGCCAATAGCGTGTGGGAGGCCAACGCGCAGGGGCGACTGAAGCCTGCCCCAGATGCCAGCAGGTAAGAGGAACTTCTTGACTCTTGCTTTTTAGCTGTCATCAAAGAATTACATTAAGGGTCGGCGGGACTTTATTTTTCTCTCTGAACCGTCAGTTATTCGGCTGTTGTCATGGTTACTTATTGTATTCAATCCAAGAGAGGATCAGGATGGGTTTCCCAAAAGCGTCTTAGCGCAAAGGTCATTCTTAAATGGTAGCGAGAGCATCACACTGAGTACTCTCTCTACTAGTCAAGATGGTCTTCACACTTAGGACCTGTTTACAGGATTACGTTCGGATTTCACTTGAGTGCAGGGAAAGCCGGGCGTAAACACCCACAGGACAGCTGTGTGAGTGGATAACGATTGGATCACCCAGACCAAATTTGGAAGAGGTCAGAGATGGATCTTGACCACTTTTAATGCAGGTGTAAACAAAATGTGTTCTCGTTCTCCTATTACGTGAGCAGAAATGTCCGCAGAATGATAACTAGCACAAACAAGGAAACAAAAGATATGAAATGTGTGAGGCTAAAGTCATCCATGAAACAAGTGCCTTCATGCACCAGGGGTGTGGTGAACAATCGATTCTTGGATGCATCGCGATGCAGATGTGGACGATTCTGAATCAACTCACAGATATCAAAAATCAACTTTATAAAATTTAATTGAAAACGTACTGTTGAACTGCAGCGCCCGGACAGTCTGTGGCGTGCACATAACAAAAACACAAGAAGGATGAGCGAGAACTCTGACCGGCACCCTCTGCATTCAAAGCTAGCGTGTGTAAGCACTCTGACTTCTGTGAAGTCGGAGGAAAAAAAGAACCTGGACAAGAGCCACACTATATGCAAGTGGTGCCACATTTTAACTAAAATATTTTGTAAACATGAGAAGCGATATTACAAATTTCCACCCAGAGGAGGACAAAAGATACCCAGTTGTAGTTGCTGCCAGTCCATCGAGGACCGTCAGACCGATGTCAAAGCTTCCACCCAACTCGGAAAGGGCGAAGTGAATTACTAACTTTGTTCCAACTTTCATTGCCAAGGATTTGCGTCCGTACTCAGTCGTTGAGAACCAGGGCTTTCGCGCTATGTTGGACGCTTTAGAGCCGAGATACAGTCTCAAAGATATTTTACTGACACAGTGACCACCACCACAACAACTCCCACTCTCTACAACGAGACCAAAACCGGAGTTTTAAAATCACTAAATAAAACGGGTAGGATAGCTGTAACATGCGATGCGTGGACATCCGTTGCCGCAGAATCTTGTCTCACCGTAACTGCGGATTTTATCGCAGATGAGTGGCAGCAGCGTCTCATGTGCTCCAAACAAGAGCAGTAAATCAGAGCCTTCCAGTTGACTTGCCACATCTCTTCTGTTTGTTTCATTAATAAAAGATATTGAAAGTAAATTCATTCCGAATCATTACAAATGTCTTGCTTTAAAAGTGCCAAGTCGTCACACAGTGAGAAAAAAGACGTCCTGTATAGAAAAAAAAGATGCATCAATAATTGTTTTATAATCGTATCACAGCCTCTGCATCGTTATCAAATCGATTCATGAGGTGCCTAGAGATTCCCACCCCTATCATGCATTCCAAGTTGATGAAAGCATAAAAGCGAAGCTTGTTAACTCATATCGTAATTGGGAAAAGAGTGAACAAAGGTAACAGCGTAATTGTTGATGTGTTTTTTATGGAGGGAAAGTACAATCAGATCTCATCTGGCCACGCTTGGGATGCATTTTGGTGAAAAGTGTAAATGGAATTAGGCCAGAAAATGCTAAGTATAAACAGGCTATAAGATGCTTTTGGAGACTAGGTCCAGACTGGTCCACACCTAAAGACAGCTCTCTGAAACTTCCACCAGCCCTTCTTTAACGGTCACTTTCTGACCACAAAACCACTCTTGGCCGGATATTTTATTGGTGGTGGACTGATCTCCACCCTGTAGTGATGCTGACGTGTGTAAAAGCCTCTGCAACACTGCTGTGCCTGAAACTCAGGCCAGAACCACACACATTGCCATGCCATTACCATGTCAGTGTCAATGCTGTGCTGGACATGATTTACCACTCAAATAGAATCTGGTCAACAGCGGTCTTGTAGTCAACAACTGACCATTGATGAATTTAGTGGAGGGTGACTGACAAATTCTGCATGTCAGCATATGGCATACACTATATAACTGTATACTTGTACAGTGGACCTATAAGGTAGGTGGACTTCATAAACTGGCCACTGAGTGGAAGTACAAGGTAGATGTTTCTAATAAAGTGGCCAGTGAATGTGTGTCTTATTTCATATCTATAACAGCCTCTATGAGTCCCATGCTCTGGTTATGTCTGCATTTTTTTCATGCTCTAACAGTCCTAACCCAGCTCTTGTAGACCTTGATAATTAGTTAACCCCTAAAACCGTACGGGCCCGTACGTGGGCTCACATTTCGGTTCCTTACTCTTTTAAATTGAGACAAATGAGAGCTGTGGAGCTTTGTGAGATAGTAAGTGATGTTACTTTGCAGTCATTGTTGAAAATGTGATATTAGCATATGTTAAAAATAATTGTGGAAAGATTAAGTATTTGTTTACATCTATTCTCAGTTATCCTTGGCCATTATGTACAGGTCATTCATTTTTCAGCACTAGGGAAAAGGAGAAAACATATTTAACAGACGTATTACACAACTAGGAAGAGAAAACAACAACATCTAAATGTAATTCTGTTTTTTTCCAATATGTAACGTGTCCAGCCCTTGGCTTTATTACAGCTACAGTTCTTTGGGATATTTTTCCACACCTTCAAAATTCAGTTTCAGAATTTGGTTTCATTTTCTGCTTCTCTCGATCCAAGTAATACTGATTGCAATTTAGACTTAGGATACCTATTTATGACTCCACTCACTTATTTTCTTTGATTTTCTCTCTACTTTCCTCCTCCTTAGAAATCTCAGCAAAAATTAGTAGTTTGTGCCTAATGGCTGTTTTGACTGGTAATTATGTAAATGAAGGGTGGTTCCTGACTTTTGTAGTGTACTGTACACATTAGTTTTGTCATCATTACTAAATTATCCACAATGGTTACTAAATAATAAGGTAAAACCAGCAAAATGTGCAGAGCATAAGATTCCCAGGACTGGGATTGAGAACCATTGTATAACTCGTATATAAGCTCCAAGTGCTGACTGATGAACATTGTCCTACTTCTTGCTGCACAGACGGACACGATCATAGAGAGTTGTCAGTTTGACTTTTCCCAACTCTAACTGTGGGTAATACTGCCTCCCCCCACGCTCATCTCCCTCCCCCACCGTCTTTAGCTGTGTAATTATCGGTGGAGAGGTCCAGCCCCAACAGCCATCATAACAAATTAGAGCTGACTGGCGGCCGCAGGAATATCGACTCCCCACTCCACGCCGGCCTCATTACTCACCAGAAGCACCTTTTAATTACTCGCCCCCTCCAAAAATCTTTCCTTATGGATCCGCCGTTTTCGGCCACTTGCCGTCAATGTGCTAATGCGTTTATTGTTCCTCATGTAGCCGTTTATTTATGTACGCGGAGGGCCTGTGGCCCTGCAAGTGAACAGGAGAGATTACCGAAAGGGTCGATACTATCTCAATTAACCCCAGCCCACGGAGCCCGCCGCTTCAGCCATCGCTCTCCTGCTGTCAATAGCACCTATTCTAGCATTTCTTAAGTGGCTCCTGACTAGCGCCTTACTGCTCCAACGGAGGGGGAAAGTATTTCTGAAATTGTACGAGTTTGGTAGCAGTTAACTAATATACATGACAGGGTTTGGGTGGGCAATATTACGATATTTTATTGTTATTGTGATAAATTGCATCACAGTACGCTTTCCTGAGTTCATCTTTGGTCTAGTTAGTACTTCTACAACATTAAACAACTGCTTTTTCCATAAAAAAGCTTGTAAACAACATCTAATGTGTAGTAATTGCATGAGCTGCATAGATGTCAGCCCTTTGTCTTTATCTGTTGCAGTGTTTTCCCAATCCCAGTTCTGGTAATCCCACATTAAGCTTATTTCTTTGCTTTGTCTCATCTAGCACACCTGATACTACTCAGTAACTAATTAACAGGGTCATTGTGGGCTTGGTTAGGTATGTAGAGTAGGGAAAATACAAAAAAATATTTAAAATATATAAAATGTGGCACCACTGTTTCGCTGGTGCACTGTGTCTGTTGCTACAGTTGCTGTTTGCAACGTTAGAAAAACTAAATATTTTGTTGCATAGAAGAATCACTGGAAGTGTCATGAAGCAAGTAGCATGATGTTAGGTTTTTTGCTATATTGTCCACCCTTATGACAGGGCATGTATGTAATGGTGGCCTGTATTGCTAAGCAAAACATTTACCATTTGGCTCAGATTTGTCCTTTCAGGCTTCCTTTCTATATTTTTATTGGTCACTTTCAGCAGTGAGTGTATATGTATGCACATATATATGGGTGTTTCTGTATCTACAGACAGTTTTGGCTGTCCAGGTTTTTAGAAAAAGTGTCTTAACCGTGACATTTCCTTACTACAGCAGAGTGTTGCAGTAAGGACACTTTGTGATAAAGACGTATTCACTGTTTTTGAGTATAAATGGCAAAGAGCAAGTCATGTCACATTTGCTGTGGCCAATATCTTCTAATGTATTTGGATTTATTTTTTTTTTAAGCATAATAGTTATAAATGCTACTTTAATGGCATGCAGAAAACATTGAAGATGAAAAGATGACATTTACCTTGTTTCTCTGTAAATCCAGAGACACTTGGATTAGATTTTCACACGTTTGTCCATGTACTCTGAGTATTTTGTGCTTTAATCAGAAGTAGGTTGTTTGGCTTTGACCAAAAAATGTTATTTTTGGTCATTTGGTCCATGTTGCTGTAAGAACATACAACATGTTATACAGACATGTTTAGAGAAAAAAATACTTTCATGACTGTTTAAGAGCTGTATTTATTTAGTAATCCATTAATTTAACCTTTATGCAATGCAGTTATGATCT